CCTTGTGAACATGCGATTTTACGTACAAATGCCTTCCCACGCATAGAACAATTGAACGGCTTCTCGCCCGTATGTATTTTTTGATGACTGTGAAGAATTGATTCCCGTGCAAATGCCTTCCCACACACAGAGCAATTGAATGGCTTCTTGCCCGCCTGTGCGTGGCGCTGTGGAGAGTGTTTCTGCTCCATGTGACGTGATTCTTCAGAGCAGAGTAACATTCTCGGGTGTTATTGAGAATTAAAGGTGCCCTCCCAGCTGCGTGGATATCTGGCGTTGGCTGATGGGGTTTTGTTTCAAATCACCACTCACTCATCGTCGAACCGAAACACAGTAACGTCCCGTAAGCCCGACTACACAGGTGATTAACAGTTTATCCACTAACACTTAAACACTTACATGGAACCCATCTGCAGAGATCGTCACAAAATCTCCCGAAGAAAAGTCGCCAGCCAGTCACCACGCATTCGTGCTCACCGGGCTGGGTCTCACACGAGAAGGGTAATGTGCCGTGAGGAGTCGAGCGTCTATCCTCAGGCAAATCCCTCTCAAAATGATCTTGAGGTCTGATTTTAAGCCCCTTATAACTCCCCTCTAGCATCCAAACCCTTTGTTCTCGACTTGGCCTATCATGAACTTTGCATTCAATTGTATTAAATTTTATTTACAATCCGCATATCGAGAAACATAGCTTATTCTCATTCTACGTGACTTTACCGAAAGAACCAAAGAAGATGAATCATTGCAGTCACGAAAGCTTTCAATCGAAATATAGCTTAGCTGATTGGGCCAATGTATAAAAATCTCAATACGTATCTACATTTCACTGCATAATTGTATGATTTTGCTTGAATAAGGATTTCGAATCTCCCTGCATAATTGCATGCATCGTGTTAATTTGTCACGAACCTAACCACTACACTACGCATCTGCATATGCACAGCAGTGTAATAGGAGAGCAGCGTTGTGATTATTTTCACAGGTTAAACAGAAGAACACTGAAGTACGTTATGCCGATGACAAAAATGCATGCCATTCGAATGCATTCTATTAATGCCCCAAATGCATTTCATTACTAGTAATATTGAGAAACTTGTCCTCTTGTTCAGCCGGGCCTCAGCTTCAGTTTGAAGATCAAGGAGCACCGTATGTTCAATGAGTGTAGCGAAGTAATTAATAATGATGTTGATGTGCATCAAGTCGTTTTCAAGTTAATTTTCTTTGCCTTTTCCACAGCACACTGATTCAGATTATCCGCTGCATTTGTGAAATCTCTCATAATCCCCCCTGGGGATCCAAATCCTTAGTTCTCGACTTGGCCTTTCGTGAACTTTGCATTCAATTGTTAATTTCGGTAATTTACAATCCGCATATTTAGCAACATTCCTAAGCTCATGTGGTCATTATACTTTCACCTGAATACTGTGTAATTATACACTTCCTGTTCAATAAGGATGCGCATCTGCATAATTACGTGCGTCTTTTATGTTGCATATTTCTACTCAGAAATGCCCTGTATACTGCTGCCAGTTAACAGGCCTTACTAGCGAAATAAATTGCAATGGTGATCTCGAGTTCTACTGGACGAAGAGGTGCACTCTTCATGGCGTGTTGACGATTTAAAAATATATTCAAAGACAAGTGTTGATGAAAGTGCGTCTAGACAACGAAGCGGATTTGTTATATTCAACCAACCAAAATTATTACAATTGCTGTCAAAATTGTTTGAATAATCATCTGATTGCTATAGCTTGTAATTATAGCCAAAGCAAGCAGTACATCAATTGAAACATAAAATAATCGGAATCCTTAAGTGTGTGTCTACGTAAGAATAACTCAATGGCATCTACAGACACCTCTTAGTTTCCCCAAAACGTAGTTCCCGCAGAACTCAGGAAGATTTTGATCTCAAAATAGTGTACAGCATCCACAAAATCATACTCTCCATAGCGCCACGAACAAACGGGCAAAAAGCCATTCGATTGCTATGTGTGTGGAAAGGTATTTGCACGATCCACAACGATAGGGAAGTAATATACAAATGACATTCAAAGTGTTGTAATGGGTCCTGAAGAAAATTACACTTTAGATCCCATGCAGTTGGATCCTGAGAAATGGCTGGATGCAATGGAGTGGCTGGTGGGTCAAACTTAAAAGTATAGCGTGACTATTCTTGGTTCTTTCGGTAAAGTCACGTAGAAGGGAATCAATAAAATAATAAAAATATAAAACAATAAAATAATACGTGGTGACTTTACCGAAAGAACCAAGAATATGAATCCCTGCAGTCACGAAAACTTTAAATCTAAATTTATAGCGTGACTGTGTTTGATTATACATATTGAGCCATATTGAGTACGTATGTTAACGTCCTAGAATCAAGAAATATGTAATACTCCAAACTACAGTGATGTTGTGAATGCTGTACAATGTATTGAGATCAAAGTCTTCCTCGTGAGTTCGACGGTGGCTGTGTTTGGGGAAACGAAGAGTCGTCTGTAGATGCTGTTGAGATATTCTCCAGACACTCGTGACTCATGCTCCAGTAGTGCTCACTCCTTCAAAGATTACAAAAATTGCATCATTCGAAAAATCCAACGCTTGCTCTGGCAATTGGCTCATTGGAGATGTCTAACATGTGGTGTGTATGGTCGTGCTGTCTTGTTTTAGGATGTGCCAATTCTTGTTAGATAACCACAGACGACTCTTAGTTTCCCACAAACACAGTCCCCGCCAAACTCACAAGGAGGAATGTGATCTCACACAGTGTACTGCATTTACAAACTCACTCTAGCTTGGAGGATTCCTGAAAATCACTAATATCATAAATGTAATATATTACTTGATATAACAAAAAACACAAAAATACACGATATAATTGTAATGATTTATGATCTTGCACGTTTTGATGAGGTTTGTGTGGTAAATGTTTTATTATATACTGCATATATAGTTATTCAATTCCATTGAGATGGCACATTCATCCAGCAGTGGATAGTGTCAATCTAATGATCAGAATGTGATTCTAATAATACTAATCCTTTGAGAGTCCTGAGGCCTCAGTTTATGGTGGAACTATTTACGGTGCAACTAGTTGATAGTGTTATAGTTTAGAGTTTACAGTTCATCGGTTTTGGTGTTAAGAGTTCACAGTGTTACATATGTAACGGTGTTATTGGGCTTAAGATCCGCCGTTCCCATGCAGTGGCCGGCAGTACCGGCCACATGCCGATAGGGGGCAACAGAGGGGCTGAGCCCCAGTGCTGAGAGACTATGGGCCATCGGGCACAGCGGTTACCCTATAGAGCGGCACGTTAAAGGGACGGACCCCAGACCCCAGGAGGAAGGCTAAAAAATGACATCACCCCCAGATCCTTCTCGAAGGTTCGGGAAGGAAGGCGTGGCCAAGGCGGGGCGAGCCACGGTCCTGCATAAAAGCCGGACCCCTGATCGGTCCGAGGCAGTCGTCGTCCAGCTGAAGACGAGAAGCCTCCTGAAGAGAAGAGCCCAAGGGCAGAGCCGTAGCCCTGGCAAGGGTTGGCCAACCCCCACTTCGGTGGATGAAGTTCGCAGTTTTGTTGGGTTCATGTCGTATTACCGGTTTCGCGATCGCTCACAACCAAGGGTACCCTGATTTTTCGTTACCATTTGTGCTGGACACAGACGCCAGTGACACCAGAATCGGCGCTGTGTTATCACAGGTGGTGAACAAGGTCGGATGTGATGCACCGCAAATTATTGGCAACTGTAAACTTTGTACAGCAATTACCGTCCGTACCTTTACGGTAGGCAGTTTCTTGTACGTAATATGCGCTGCGAGTTGACCAGCCGTCCGGCCAGCTCTCCCAATGGTTGGAGATTTTGCAGGATTATTTATTTACAGTCACCTATTGGAAGGGTACACGGCACTGTAACGCGGACGCGTTGTCGCGGTTGCCACCAAAGAGTCAGTGTGCGCGTTTGATGGGTGCCGGCCGTTGTAAACCTGCGATTGCAGGACTGCCGTGCACCGTCGTGGCATCGGTTGACACTCAACCACCCGCAGGGACCGTTGCTTGCGATAACACTATTGCTCTCACGCACACTGAATGGGGACGCCCCCAAATGGAGGATGCCTCCCTCTTAAAATTGCGGTGGCGCGTCGGAGCGACGGTTGGTACAAAAGGACCAGCGGGAATGTCCCTCGTGGTCCTCCGTGATGATCTGCTGATGAGGTGGGGACGAGGAGGTGCAGCGTTACTGCATCGTCATTCAGATTGCTCTGCGGGGTAGAGTTACACGGGCTGTCCATGGGGTGCAGAAAACCTCGTCAACCCTAAAGAGCGACTTATTTTGCCCCAGGATGTCAGAGAATGTCCATAATATGCTTAAGGATTGTGTTGCCACAGAGGCAGGCTTGGCCACCGTTGCAGTACATAGAGGTGTCCTGTGTTAACAAGCCCATTGCTCTCGACATCCTTGGACCATATCCCACCACTCTGAGGGGAAACAAATTTTTGCTTGTCGGGGTGGAGTACCTATCCCAGTGGCTGGTGGCATGGCCTTTGCCGGATCAATCGGCTGCGTCCATCATGGATGCATTCCTGCATGGGTATGTTTTGGATAAGGGGGCCCTGGACCATCTCCTTACGGACCCAGGGTCGGAATTTTTCTTTTAACTTATTAAAAGAGGTGTGCGATTCCCTCGGTACTAAAAAGATCCGGACGTCACCCTACCATCCCCAGACTGACGGGATGGTAGAGCGCTTGCACAGAACTCTCAAGTCCATGCTGTGCCAACAGGTCAACGAGGCGCAGTCCGATTGGGATTTACACGTTCCGGGTGTTCTCGCTGCGTACAGAACGGCCCCTCACGTCTCAACCGGGTTCTCTCACTTCTGAAAAAGAGCTACATAGCTCAGTGGGCCTCAGCTGCTAAAATAAGAGTTTATAGTTCAGTAGTTTAGAATTATCTCTGCCCCCGAACACCCCCCCCCGAAAGGAATTCACCATGGCTCTCATTCAAACAAACCAATTCCTTTAATGAAACACTCCACAACAGGGACAGAGATTGTAACAAGAAATCATTATCTCTGCTCCTCACTCCCGCGCTGTTGTCATCGTACAGAGGGTGAACTGAAAAAAGAATGTGAACCCAGTGCGATGATCAGTCACACTCACGGCTCTGCCCCCCAGCCATTAACCTCCTCCCCCTCCCCAGCCATTAACTCTGCCCCCCTCAGCCATCAACTCTGCCCACCAACCACTAACCCCACCCATCAGCCACCAATTCCACCCACCAGCCACTAACTCCGCCCACAAGTCACTAACTCCGCCCACCCCGGTCACGGCAAAGACTCCACGCCAGTAACACCACAGGAACCCAGGAAGGAGAAGACGGGCGGGAGGTGGTGTTAGACTAAGTGTGACTGGGTCTTAGATGGGGTGATAGACTTAGATTAGGTGGGTGTTAGATTTGGTGTTATACAGAGTGTTGGATTGGATGTTAGACCAAGGGTTAGATTGGGTGTCATATTGGGTGTTGGACAGTGTTAGATTGAGTGTTAGGTGGAGTGGTAGACCGAGTGTTAGGTTAGGTGGGTGTTAGATTGAGTGTTAGACCAAGTGTTGGGTTGGGTGGGTATTAGTGGGTGCTCCCCTCGCTAGCAGTACTTTCCCCAACAGCCAGTGCGGGCTACACGGGGGACCTTTGCCTATGTGTTGGAATGTGACAGTAGCGAGCGTGGGAAAAAAGGGAGTGTTTCATGTGCATACCCATAACCACGTGGATGTGCGTGTGCGAGTGTGTGTATGTGCGAGCGTGTGTTTGTGTGTGCATTCCCCAGTGCCTTGCGTCCTCCACTCCCCCGTCCCGCTCTACTCCGTGCGCCCCTCGTCCGCCGCCGCTTCGTAGCGAGCCAGCTGTGGAAACAAAAACAAAGATCCCCCAGGTAGCCTCAACCAACAGACGGTGGGGGCAAGCGCTGTTCATTGCGAGTAGTAGCAGCGCCTATGAAGGTACTCCGAGGGGGTGGGTGGCCAGCACCACACACACCGGTCTGCCTTTGTCTCCCCCAGTGGCGATGTTTACTACACACCACCACTGCACCAGGTACCCATTTGAGGCTGAGTCACTGGTGTTGGTGTTGGCCGTGAACGGGAACCGAACTCGGGTCACCAGGTTTCGTAGCGCGGCACGCTAACTGCTACACTAACGCTACCCCCACACACACACACACACGGGGCGTGCACCTAACCTGGCATCAGCACCACCCACGGCCGCATAGCCGCCACCACTGAGAGGTGAACGGCAGCTGCCATCATTGCGTAGCGTGCACCACCGTGTCCTAGATATTAACTACCTCGCCTGGTATCAGGAGGTCGTGGGATCGATCCCAACCCCAATGATACGGTAGCAAGGAGATGTTAACTACCTCGCCTCTTATGCAGGAGGTCGTGGGTTCGATCCCGACCTCGACGTCACCGTGGCAAGAAGATGTTAACTTCCGCGCCTGGTATGCAGGAGGTTGTGTTCGATCCCGACCTCGACATCACATTGGCTCGGAGATGTTAACTACCTCGCCTGGTATACATGAGGTCGTGGGTTCGATCCTGACCCTGATGATGCCTGCTGCTGTATGTTTGGAGTCTGGGTCTCTTTCTCTCTCTCTTATCTCCCCGTAGTGGTCATGTGGATTTTCTTAGGGTCCTCCGGTTTTACCTCGACATTCAGAATCAACGTCACGCCTTTAGAGTATTTGACTGCGATAAATGTCCACGTGCACAATGATGGCAGCCACTTCGTTGAGCCATCATTTGTGATTGCCAGGTCGCTTCTGAAAGCGCTACATAGCCCAGTGGGGCCTTACCTGGTAAAACGAAACAGCTTTAGTTTACCGCATGTGTTGTGCATGATTGACGATTGTAATTTTCCAGATGGTCATTGGCGGAGCCTACATCGTCATCATAAACATCATCAGCCATGGTCACTCCATTGCTGGATGAAGGGTTCAAGCCACCACCATCATCAGCCATGGTCTCTCCCCGCTCTCTCTCTGCACGTGCGTTGCGATGACAACGACAATGATCACATCATCGTCATCATCGTTAATGATTTCATCATCATCATCGTCGTTAATGATTACATCATCATTATTGTTGTCGTCATCACTATAATTTATTATATGAATAATGATTACATTGTCATCATAAATAATTATAGCAGAACCCCTCTTAACGACCAGCCCTGTTAACGACTATCACTTAATGACGAGCCTTCATAGCGCCCAATGTGGAGTATAGTATATAGTAGTTTATATTGTAGTGTATAGTATAGTATATAACAGCATAGTGTATAACAGTGTAGTGTACAGTGTAGCGCATAGTTGCGTAGAGTATAGTGGTGTAGCGTATAGTCGTGTAGCGTATAATGGTGTAGCGTATAATGGTGTAGCGTATAGTCGTGTAGCGTATAGTCGCGTAGTGTATAGTGGCGTAGCGTATAGTGGCGTAGCCTATATTAGCGTAGCGTATAGTGTAGAATATAGTAGTGTATAGTAGTGTATAGTGTAGTTAACAACTAATTGCTTAACGATGGGCCTCCATAGAGCCCAATGTGTCCGCTTACCGACCATTCCCCTGTTAACGACGACTTATGACGAGCACACGACTGTCAATTTCGGCCAATCGGCGAGCTCCAGAGTGGTCTGACCAGGCCTCGGCCAATCAGCGACATCCATTCATGGGTGTTGGGGCATTGTTTACATTCAGTGTCTGCTGTGCTTTGAAGTGGAAACATTTACTCGCTTAACGACCGGCTTCCTGGAACCAATTACCGTTAAGAGAGGTTCTGCTATACATCATTAATGATTACATCGACATCATCATCATCATCAACGAATGCATCATTATCGTCGTGACCACGAGGATGCGGCTCACCTTGCCCTTGAGCTCCCGGTTCTCTTCGGCCAGGGAGTCCAACTTGAGGCGCAGTTCAGAAGCCTCGAGGCGCAGGGCCTCTACATCAGCCCCCTCGGGGCCCGCAGAGCTCAGGTGCTGCTTCAGGAAGCTGAGCGGCAACGTCAAGGATCACTCAAACCGACAATCAATGACCGACCTTCGCCACTAAGTGTTGGTGACATCACCACGGTGCCGGTGCCAGGCTATGTGCACTTTAAGGCCACGTGAAGTGTCGAACGCCTGCTGGCAGGTCACGGGATAGATCTTGGGGCCATGGGACGACTGATTGAGATGACTGGCTGATGCACCACCTGTGCCCCCTACTGTGCCAACCTGCTGTGTTTTAGCACATGGTACTCCGCTCATTGTTGTGAGCGTCACTCCTCTGCCCTCTGTTGTTGCTGGAGGGCGACTGCCTCCAACTGCCCAGCAGCGTCCTTCACCAGCCTCCTCTACAGAGGCCGATCTTGACACCGCTAGTACCAGTCATCAGCAAGTCCACTCAGCTCCACATCCTCTTGCACCACGGACAAAAGCTGTTTCGGCATGCGGTGGCTGAGCATGTGGTCTATATGACCCAGCCAATGCAGCCTTGCTTGCCGGAGGAGCTCACCGATGGGATTTTTTCCATATGTTTCAAGGATTTGTGAGCTCTTCAGACAATTCAGTCGGGTTAAACCCAGGATGGATCGTAGGCAGGCCAGCCTAAATGTTTTTAACCGGCGAAGATGTTCCATTAGGGAGGTCGACATTTTGCAAGAATAGAGAAGGGCATGACCGTGGCTGAGAAGAACCGAAGCTTCATGTGGAGTGACAGACCAGGTAGCTTCCACACAGCGTTACACAGACGATGAAAAGATAATGCCGATCAACTGATTCGGAGTGAGAGCTCTGCTTTCAAACCGGAGCCGGTCATGAGCATACTGCCCAGGTATGGAAGATGCTCCACTCTCTCCACAACTGCCCCACCAACCAATTGGGATTTGTGGGGGAGTGTCTGATGGCACAAAATACCCAGGCAGGTGCTTAGTTTTGGTGGGGCTGATGGTAAGGCCCCATCTCTTAGTGGCACGCTCCAGGTTCAGCAGCAGTGCCACCAACTCCTCCTCTGAGTGAGCACCAATCACCAGATCATCAGCATACAAAACATAGTTGACCAATAGGGAGCCATCCCTTGACCATACCCGGGCATCGATCAGCCTCCCATTGTATCTGTACAAGATGGAAATTCCTCCGGTAGAGCCATCGAAGGCTTCACGAACTACATGGTGGAAATATGTTAAATGTGGGAGGCAGAAGACATCTCTGTTGCACCCCAAGGTGAACAGGGAAAGGTTCCGACTTCTGGCCACGTAGTTTTACCCAGGCCTGCCCACCATCATGAGGTCCTTAATGATTGTGAGCAGTCATGGACTTTGAAAGTACGAAGAACCCACAGTCCAGGACTACTCATGGTATCATAGGCCTTGACCAGGTCAATAAAGCAGAGATGTAGGTCTTGTTGGAATTCCCTATACCTCTGCTGTAGCAGACGGACAGGAAATACGGCATCTGTGCAGGACCACCCTTTCCTGAAACCACATTGGAGCTCCGCAAGCCTCTCCTTAGCGTGCCTGGCAAGGGGACGTTGAATAATCCTTGCCAGGACCTTTCGTGCCACACTGAGGAGAGAGGTGCCGCTGTAGTTGTTACAGTCTGTGCGGTCCCCTTTTTAAAGAAGGGGACCGCCAGGGACATCCTTCCAATCTTGCGGAACCCATCCAGTGGTCCAGACTGTTATGACGTCATATAGTGGAGTCTGCGCACAAGCGCCACCCTCCCTCAGCATTTTGCTTGGGAGATCATCTCTGCCCGGTGCTTTTCCTGGTCTCAGACTCAGGATCGCCTCCTGTACTTCCTCAACAGATGACACAGGGGGGGAAGACTTCTTCCAATATTTGAGGCACCGCAGCCTAAGCAGGGTCATTCCCAATTTTCATTCTCTGACGTGGGATGCTGTAGACAGTGAGTGGACCTGTCGCTTTTTCTCAGCCAACCGGAATACCTCCTATGTCAGCCAGGGTCTGTGGGGCGGTTTGGACCATGGACTCAAAGCAAACATTGCAGCGGCATGAACCACAGTCCTAAACCTTTCCCATTTCCCCTCAGCATCAGGAGTGTGGGACGATGCCAACCCCAGCTGCAAGCGATGATGAAATTCTCGCTTGCAACTTTCATCAGCTAGCTGAGACCAAGCCACTGTGGGTTTGAATAGGGTTCTGGATATACACCCACCACTGGAGTCGAAGAATGGCAGGCACATCTTACAGATGACAAGCTGATGGTCAGTGGGCAGATCAGCTCCACGGTAGGTCCTGGTGTCAAGGAAATGGGCCCGCATCCGCTGTTGTCACTATAGTCTAGCAGATGATCTTGCTTGGACCCAGCGTGCATCCATGATGTGTTGATGCGCCAATGTCAGAACAGCGTGTTGGTAATTACAAGCCCATGGGCTGCACAGAAGTCTGGCAGCCTCCTACCCTTGTTATTGAGCTGATCTGGCCCATGCCTTCCAATCACTCCAGACCAGGTGCCAGGATTATGACCCACTCAGGCATTAAAGTCACCCAACAGGATGACTCTATCCCAAGGGGCCTCTTCAGCTTGCACCTGTTACATGTTAGGGCTTACAAATTCTCACACCTCACCGCCACGCTCCCAAACCCCCCTTAATTTTTTTGTTCAGAAGAGCCACTCCGTATTGTTTGGTAGTCTACTGCCCCGAGTAGAGGACTGTCCACCCCTCATAGTGCCAGGAGCCAGAGCCAGTCCACCGGACCTCCTGAATACCGCAGAGATCCAGGCGATAGCAGTCCAACTCCCAACAGAGAAGTGAGCATTCGAACATTCCACATTTCCTCCGCAATGACTATTTCATTTTACTGGAGGAACCCCGAGGGTAAAAATTGAGCCTCCTGGCTCCGCAAAATGGGGTTGTGATCCTAGGGGCCTCCGGCACAAACTTCGTTCTATATTTCTCATGTGGTTAAGTTGTAAATAATTGAAGGTGGATCGGGTTACCAACCCCTCACACCCGTCCAGAGTGCCCGCCTGGCCACTGTGGTGGCTACAAGCGTCATGAAGGGGTATAGCCAATTATAGCATTGCTCCCATCCACCACAGCGTTGCCATCCGGCACCAGCGAGGAGGTAGGGAGTTGTTTTAACCGGACACACGGGGGGGGACACTGACAATGAACGGTCCCCACTAGGCTCACACACATGGGATGCTGACACTGAGGGGTCCCCTAGGCTCCCTTAGGATCACACACACGGGGGGACACTAACACTGGGGGGTCCCCTAGGCTCCCCTAGGGTCCCCTAGGATCACACACACACTTACGCATGGTGGTCCTGACACTGGGGGGTCCCCTAAGATCACACGCAAGGGACGTTGACCCACACGATGGGTCCCCCTCGTATCACAGATCCCCCGTGTAGCCTTAACAGACAGTCGGGGCAAGTGGTGTTAGCGAGCACCTATGAAGGCCAGAACGGTACAAGAGGGGGTCGTTGGACAGCAACCATGCCCGACCATCTTTGTCTCCCCAGTGGCGATGGTCATACACCACACGATGTACGCATTTGAGGCTGACTCGACATAGGGGAGGCCCAGGACCGGTTCAAACAATTGTCACCGGTGGTGGCCGTGAGCTGGAATCGAACTCGGGTCGCCGGGTTCACAGCACAGCTCGCTAATCGCTACACTACCGCTCATGTCACGCACACACACAGGAGATGCTGCCAATGGGGGGGGGGGGGTCCCCTAGGCCAAGAGAATGCGAACGTTCAGTCGGTGCTCACCGTGTTTTTAATCAACTAAACTATGTTTATTTTACTCGGTGTAAGGCCCCACTAAGCTATGGAGCTTCTTTCAGACGCAACCTGGCCATGACAAATGATAGCTGCTCACCGAAGTGGTGGCTTGTCATCACCATCACGTGGAAATTGCTATCAGAAGCTAAATTCTATAAACATGTGACGCTGATTGTAATCGTGGAGTGGCGTGGTTGAGGATACTCCAGGGCATTGTTGGGTTTGTCTGGCTCCTCGTACAGACCAACGAGCACTGCACACGCACACACGTACACACACGTACACACAAAGACAAAGGTCCCCCGTATAGCCCTTAGCAGACTGTCGGGACAAGTGCTGTTAGCGAGTAGCACCGCCTATGAAGGCCGGCACCGCGGCACACACCTGGCCGCCTTTGTTTCCCCGGTGCTGATGTTCCCACACTGCACAAGGTGCTCTTTTAAGGCCGAGTTGACCTAGGGAAGTCCTACCGATATTAAACCTTGAGCGCGAATCGAACTCTGTTCGTCGGGTTCCTAAGTACAGTGCGCTAACCACAGCGCCACCGCTTGACAAATGCGCGTGTATAAGCAAATATGACTAAGTGTGCTCTGAACCTGGCGACCCGAGTTAGATTCCCGCTCACAGCCAATACCAGTGATGATGATCTGAACCCGGTGCTGGGCCTTCCCAAGATCAGCTCGGTCTCAAAATTAGTACCTGGCCGCGGTGTGTAGTAGACATCGTCATAGACTAACACTGCCCATAGACTCAACACCGCCCACAAACTCAACACTGCACCACAGACGCAACACTGTCCCGTACACTCAATACTGCACCATAGACTCAGTACTGCCCGTAGACTGAACTGCCTGGAACCTGCCCGTAGACTTAAAACATGAATATGTCTCTGTGTGTGTAAGTGAATGTGTCTCTATGTGTGTAAGCGAATGAGTCTCCACGTGTATATGTTAATGAGTCTCTAGATGTATAAGTGAATGTGTCTCTAGGTGTGTGTGTGTGAATGTGTCTAGGTGTATAAGCAAAAGACTCGAGGTGTGCAAGTGAATGAGTCTCTCAGTGTACAAGTGCATGAATCTCTCAGTGTATAAGTGAATGTATCTCTAGGTGTATAAGTGAATGATTCTCTAGGTGTGTGAGTGAATGAGTCTCTGGGTGGGTGAGCGAATGAGTCTATGAATTTGAATGAGTCTCTAGGTGTATACATTAATGAGTCTCTAGGTGTGTGGGTGAATGAGTCTCTGGGTGTGTGGGTGAATGAGTCTCTGGGTGTGTGAGTGAATGAGTCTCTAGGTGTATAAGTGAATGAGTCTCTGGGTGTGTGAGTGAATGAGTCTATGAATTTGAAAGAGTCTATAGGTGTACACATGAATGAGTCTCTAGGTGTATACATTAATGAGTCTCTAGGTGTGTGAGTGAACGAGTCTCTGGGTGTGTGAGTGAATGAGTCTCTGGGTGTGTGAGTGAATGAGTCTCTAGGTGTATACATTAATGAGTCTCTGGGTGTGTGGGTGAATGAGTTTCTGGGTGTGTGAGTGAATGCGTCTCTGGGTGTGTGAGTGAATGAGTCTCTGGGTGTGTGAGTGAATGAGTGAGTGTGTGAGTGAGTCTATGGATGTGAATGCATCTCTAGGTGTATAAGTGAATGAGTCTCTCTAGGTGTTTGAGTGAATGAGTCTCTGGGTGTGTGAGTGAATGAGTCTATGAATTTGAATGAGTCTCTAGGTGTACACATGAATGAGTCTCTAGGTGTATACATTAATGAGTCTCTAGGTGTGTGAGTGAATGAGTCTCTGGGTGTGTGAGTGAATGAGTCTCTGGGTGTATAAGTGAATGAGTCTCTAGGTGTGTGAGTGAATGAGTCTCTGGATGTGTGAGTGAATGAGTCTATGAATTTGAATGAGTCTATAGGTGTACACATGAATGAGTCTCTAGGTGTGTGAGTGAATGAGTCTCTAGGTGTGTGAGTGAATGAGTCTCTGGGTGTGTGAGTGAATGAGTCTATGAATTTGAATGAGTCTCTAGGTGTACACATGAATGAGTTTCTAGGTATATACATTAATGAGTCTCTAGGTGTGTGAGTGAATGAGTCTCTGGGTATGTGAGTGAATGAGTCTCTAGGTGTGTGAGTGAATGAGTCTCTGGGTGTGTGAGTGAATGAGTCTATGCATTTGAATGAGTCTATAGGTGTACACATGAATGAGTCTCTAGGTGTATACATTAATGAGTCTCTAGGTGTGTGAGTGAATGAGTCTCTAGGTGTGTGAGTGAATGAGTCTCTGGATGTATGAGTGAATGAGTATGAATTTGAATGAGTTTCTAGGTGTACACATGAATGAGTCTCTAGGTGTATACATTAATGAGTCTCTAGGTGTGTGGGTAAATGAGTCTCTGGGTGTGTGAGTGAATGAGTCTCTAGGTGTGTGGGTAAATGAGTCTCTAGGTGTGTGAGTGAATGAGTATGAATTTGAATGAGTCTATAGGTGTACACATGAATGAGTCTCTAGGTGTATACATTAATTAGTCTCTAGGTGTGTGAGTGAATGAGTCTCTAGGTGTATAAGTGAATGAGTCTCTAGGTGTGTGAGTGAATGAGTCTATGAATTTGAATGAGTCTCTAGGTGTACACATGAATGAGTCTCTAGGTGTATACATTAATGAGTCTCTAGGTGTGTGAGTGAATAAGTCTCTGGGTGTGTGAGTGAATGAGTCTCTAGGTGTGTGAGTGAATGAGTCTGTGGGTGTGTGAGTGAATGAGTCTCTGGGTGTATAAGTGAATGAGTCTCTAGGTGTGTGAGTGAATGATTCTCTGGGTGTGTGAGTGAATGAGTCTATGAATTTGAATGAGTCTCTAGGTGTACACATGAATGAGTCTCTAGGTGTATACATTAATGAGTCTCTAGGTGTGTGGGTGAATGAGTCTCTGGGTGTGTGGGTGAATGAGTCTCTGGGTGTGTGAGTAAATGAGTCTGAGTGTGTGAGTGAGTCTATGGATGTGAATGCATCTCTAGGTGTATAAGTGAATGAGTCTCTAGGTGTGTGGGTGAATGAGTCTCTGGGTGTGTGAGTGAATGAGTCTATGAATTTGAATGAGTCTATAGGTGTACACATGAATGAGTCTCTAGGTGTATACATTAATGAGTCTCTAGGTGTGTGGGTGAATGAGTCTCTAGGTGTGTGGGTGAATGAGTCTCTAGGTGTGTGGGTGAATGAGTCTCTGGGTGTGTGAGTGAATGAGGCTATGAATTTGAATGAGTCTCTAGGTGTACACATGAATAAGTCTATAGGTGTACACATGAATGAGTCTCTAGGTGTATAAGTGAATGAGTCTCTGGGTGTGTGAGTGAATGAGTCTCTGGGTGTGTGAGTGAATGAGTCTCTGGGTGTGTGAGTGAATGAGTCTCTGGGTGTGTGAGTGAATGAGTCTCTAGGTGTGTGGGTGAATGAGTCTCTGGGTGTGTGAGTGAATGAGGCTATGAATTTGAATGAGTCTCTAGGTGTACACATGAATGAGTCTATAGGTGTACACATGAATGAGTCTCTAGGTGTATACATTAATGAGTCTCTAGGTGTGTGAGTGAATGAGTCTCTGGGTGTGAATCGGCACCTTTCGTGAGCGCGTCCAGAACGCCCGACTTCTCCAGGTACCTACGGAACTCCTCCCGCTTTGAGTCAGCCGCCTGATAACAACAATAACCCCAGCTCAGTTAGGGCCGAGTCAACCTAGGGGAAGTCCGGCTCACTTACGAGCAGTTTCAAACACCCTATAAACTACAACTATAAACTAATTGGGGTGCCACAGTGGCAAGGTGTTCACTCCCTCTCCTGGTATACAGGCGGTCGTGGTTTCGATCCAGACCCTGACACCACGGTGGCTATGAGATATTAACTACCTCGCTTGGTATACAGGCAGGGGCGGAGCCAGGATTTTGACTTTGGGGGGGCTGACTTCTATATTCTGAGATATCCAGTGTTTATGTTTTCCAATGGGCGCAACAAATGAAATAGGTCGGAGCCGCTGATGTGGCTAATAAGTTCGATAAGTTCGAAAGGCTGCCGCTCAAGCAGCCTGCAGGGCAGCACAAGGTGGCAGCCTGCATTTTGCAGCAGCCGGATATCCTGTTATCCCGATTACCGATTTTCCCAAAATTTCAGGGGGGGGCTGAGCCCCCCCCCCCCCCAGCGCCCCCTGTGGCTCCGCCCCTGTATACAGGAGGTCGTGGGTTTTATCCAGACCTTGACTAGAACTACAGCAGTGCTACTGCTGCTGTTCAACTGCTGCTGTTCTACTGCTGCTGTTCAACTGCTGCTGTCCAACTGCTGCTGTTCAACCGCTGCTGTTCAACCGCTGCTGTTCAACCGCTGCTGTTCAACCGCTGGAGTTCTACCGCTGGAGTTCTACTGCTGCTGTTCTACCGCTGCTGTTCAACCGCTGCTGTTCTACCGCTGCTGTTCAACTGCTGTTGTTATACTGCTGCTGTTCTACTGCTGGAGTTCTACTGCTGCTGTTCTACTGCTGCTGTTCAAGCGCTGCTGTTCTACTGCTGCTGTTCTACTGCTGCTGTTCTACTGCTGCTGTTATACTGCTGTTGTTATACTGCTGCTGTTCTACTGCTGGAGTTCTACTGCTGCTGTTCTACTGCTGCTGTTCTTCTGCTGCTGTTCTACTGCTGCTGTTCTACTGCTGCTGTTCTTCTGCTGCTGTTCTACTGCTGGAGTTCTACTGCTGGAGTTCTACTGCTGCTGTTCTACTGCTGCTGTTCTACTGCTGGAGTTCTACTGCTGGAGTTCTACTGCTGCTGTTCTTCTGCTGCTGTTCTACTGCTGGAGTTCTACTGCTGCTGTTCTACTGCTGCTGTTCTACTGCTGCTGTTCTATTGCTGGAGTTCTACTGCTGCTGTTCTACTGCTGCTGTTCTACTGCTGCTGTTCTACGACTGCTGGAGTTCTACTGCTGGAGTTCTACTGCTGGAGTTCTACTGCTGCTGTTCTACTGCTGCTGTTCTTCTGCTGCTGTTCTACTGCTGGAGTTCTACTGCTGGAGATCTACTGCTGGAGTTCTACTGCTGGAGTTCTACTGCTGGAGTTCTACTGCTGCTGTTCTACTGCTGCTGTTCTACTGCTGGAGTTCTACTGCTGGAGTTCTACTGCTGGAGTTCTACTGCTGGAGTTCTACTGCTGGAGTTCTACTGCTGGAGTTCTACTGCTGTTGTTCTACTGCTGCTGTTCAACTGCTGCTGTTCTACTGCTGCTGTTCCATCGCTGCTGTTCTACCGCTGCTGTTCAACTGCTGTTGTTATACTGCTGCTGTTCTACTGCTGGAGTTCTACTGCTGCTGTTCTACTGCTGCTGTTCTACTGCTGCTGTTCTACTGCTGCTGTTCAAGCGCTGCTGTTCTACTGCTGCTGTTCTTCTGCTGCTGTTCTACTGCTGGAGTTCTACTGCTGCTGTTCTACTGCTGCTGTTCTTCTGCTGCTGTTCTACTGCTGGAGTTCTACTGCTGGAGTTCTACTGCTGGAGTTCTACTGCTGCTGTTCTACTGCTGCTGTTCTACTGCTGGAGTTCTACTGCTGGAGTTCTACTGCTGCTGTTCAACTGCTGCTGTTCTTCTGCTGCTGTTCTACTGCTGGAGTTCTACTGCTGCTGTTCTACTGCTGCTGTTCTACTGCTGCTGTTCTATTGCTGGAGTTCTACTGCTGCTGTTCTACTGCTGCTGTTCTACTGCTGCTGTTCTACGACTGCTGGAGTTCTACTGCTGGAGTTCTACTGCTGGAGTTCTACTGCTGCTGTTCAACTGCTGCTGTTCTTCTGCTGCTGTTCTACTGCTGCTGATCTACTGCTGCTGTTCTACTGCTGCTGTTCTTCTGCTGCTGTTCTACTGCTGGAGTTCTACTGCTGGAGATCTACTGCTGGAGTTCTACTGCTGGAGTTCTACTGCTGGAGTTCTACTGCTGTTGTTATACTGCTGCTGTTCTACTGCTGCTGTTCTACTGCTGGAGTTCTACTGCTGGAGTTCTACTGCTGGAGTTCTACTGCTGGAGTTCTACTGCTGGAGTTCTACTGCTGGAGTTCTACTGCTGTTGTTCTACTGCTGCTGTTCAACTGCTGCTGTTCTACTGCTGCTGTTCCATCGCTGCTGTTCTACCGCTGCTGTTCAACTGCTGTTGTTATACTGCTGCTGTTCTACTGCTGGAGTTCTACTGCTGCTGTTCTACTGCTGCTGTTCTACTGCTGCTGTTCTACTGCTGCTGTTCAAGCGCTGCTGTTCTACTGCTGCTGTTCTACTGCTGCTGTTCTACTGCTGGAGTTCTGCTGCTGGAGTTCTACTGCTGCTGTTCTACTGCTGCTGTTCTACTGCTGGAGTTCTACTGCTGCTGTTCAACTGCTGCTGTTCTACTGCTGCAGTTCTACTGCTGCTGTTATACTGCTGGAGTTCTACTGCTGCTGTTCTACTGCTGGAGTTCTACTGCTGCTGTTCTACTGCTGCTGTTCTACTGCTGCTGTTCTACTGCTGGAGTTCTACTGCTGCTGATCTACTGCTGCTGTTCTACGACTGCTGGAGTTCTACTGCTGGAGTTCTACTGCTGGAGTTCTACTGCTGCTGTTCTACTGCTGCTGTTCTACTGCTGCTGTTCTACTGCTGCTGTTCTACTGCTGGAGTTCTACTGCTGCTGATCTACTGCTGCTGTTCTACGACTGCTGGAGTTCTACTGCTGGAGTTCTACTGCTGGAGTTCTACTGCTGCTGTTCTACTGCTGCTGTTCTTCTGCTGCTGTTCTACTGCTGGAGTTCTACTGCTGGAGTTCTACTGCTGCTGTTCTACTGCTGCTGTTCTTCTGCTGCTGTTCTACTGCTGGAGTTCTACTGCTGGAGTTCTACTGCTGCTGTTCTACTGCTGGAGTTCTACTGCTGCTGTTCAACTGCTGCTGTTCTACTGCTGCTGTTCTACTGCTGCTGTTCTACTGCTGCTGTTCTACTGCTGCTGTTCTACTGCTGCTGTTCTACTGCTGGAGTTCTACTGCTGCTGTTCTACTGCTGGAGTTCTACTGCTGCTGTTCTACTGCTGCTGTTCAACTGCTGCTGTTCAACTGCTGCTGTTCTACTGCTGCTGTTCTACTGCTGCTGTTCTACTGCTGGAGTTCTACTGCTGGAGTTCTACTGCTGCTGATCTACTGCTGCTGTTCTACGACTGCTGCTGTTCTACTGCTGCTGTTCTACTGCTGCTGTTCTACTGCTGGAGTTCTACTGCTGGAGTTCTACTGCTGGAGTTCTACTGCTGCAGTTCTACTGCTGCTGTTCTACTGCTGCTGTTCTACCGCTGGAGTTCTACTGCTGCTGTTCTACTGCTGCTGTTCTACTGCTGCTGTTCTACCGCTGCTGTTCAACTCCTGCTGTTCTACTGCTGCTGTTCTACTGCTGCTGTTCTACTGCTGGATTTTGTTTCGCCTTAGGACGATCGCTTGTGTTGCGATCGAAACGTCGTGATATATTATTTTTTATTTTCATTTCATTTTTCTACCTACGTGACTTCACCGAAAGAACCAAAGAGTATACACAGTACCTGTACTGTACTACACACCGTACCTGTACTGTATCACACACAGTACATGCACTGTACCACACACAGTACTGTACCACACACAGTTCTTGTACTGTACTACACAGCGCATGTACTGTACCACACTCAGCACCTGTACTGCACTACACACATAGTACGTGTACTGTATTACACACAGCACCTGTACTGTACCACACAGCACCTGTACTGTACCACACAGTACCTGTACTGCACCACACAGTACCTGTACTGCACCACACAACACCTGTACTGCACTACACAACACCTGTACTGCACTACACAACACCTGTACTGCACTACACAACACCTGTACTGCACTACACACATAGTACGTGTACTGTATCACACACAGCACCTGTACTGCACTACACAGCACCTGTACTGCACTACACAGTACCTGTACTGCACTACACAGTACCTGTACTGCACTACACAGTACCTGTACTGCACTACACAGTACCTGTACTGCACTACACAGTACCTGTACTGCACTACACAGTACCTGTACTGCACTACACAGTACCTGTACTGCACTACACAGTACCTGTACTGCACTACACAGCACCTGTACTGCACTACACAGCACCTGTACTGTACTACTCAGTACCTTTACTGTACTACGCAGTACCTGTACTGTACTACGCAGTACCTGTACTGTACTACGCAGCACCTGTACTGTACTACGCAGTACCTGTACTGTACTACGCAGTACCTGTACTGTACTACGCAGTACCTGCACTGTACTACACAGTACCTGTACTGTACTACACACAACGCATGCACTGTATTACACAGTACGTGCACTGTACAACACACCGTACCTGTGCTGTACCACACACCGTATTTGTACTGTATCACACACACCGCATGTACTGTACCACACAGCGCATGTACTGTACCACACACAGAACCTGTACTGTACTACACACAACGCATGCACTGTATTACACAGTACGTGCACTGTACCACACACCGTACCTGCACTGTACCACACCGTATGTGTACTGTATCACACACACCGCATGTACTGTACCACACAGCGCATGTACTGTACCACACTCAGAACCTGTACTGTACTACACGCAGCACCTGTACTGTATTACACACATCACATGCACTGTATTACACGCAACACATGTACTGTATTACACACAGCACCTGTACTGTACTACACACAACACCTGTACTGTATTACACACAGCACCTGTACTGTACTACACACAGTACCTGTACTGTTCTACACAGTACCTGTACTACACACCGTACGTGTACTGTACTACATACAGTACATGCAATGCACTTCACACATTACATGTACTGTACTACACACCGTACAAGTACTGTACTACACACCGTACAAGTACTGTACTACACACAGTACCCTGTACTGTGTAGTACAGTACAGGGTGCTGTACTGTACTACACACAGTACCTGTACTGTATTACACACAGTACATGTACAGTACTACACACAGTACGTGTACAGTAGTACATACAGTACATGTAATGCACTTCACACATTACATGCACTGTACTACACACAGTGCATTACTGTACTACAGACAGTACCTGTACTGTACTACACACAGTACCTGTACTGTACTACAGACAGTACCTGTACTGTACTACACACAGTACCTGTACTGTACTACACAGTACCTGTACTGTACTACACAGTACCTGTACTGTACTACACAGTACCTGTACTTCACACAGTACGTGTATTGTACTACGCACCGTACGTGTACTGTACTACATACAGTACGTGTAATGCACTTCACACATTACATGTACTGTACTACACACAGTGCATTACTGTACTTCACACCGTGCATTACTGTACTACACACAGTACAAGTACTGTACTACACACCGTACAAGTACTGTACTACACACCGTACAAGTACTGTACTACACACAGCACGTGTACTGTACTACACAGCACATGTACTGTACTACACAGTACATGTACTGTACTACACACAGTACATGAACTGTACTGCGCACAGTACAAGTACTGTACTACACACAGTACGTGTACTGTACTACATACAGTACATGTAATGCACTTCACACACTACATGTACTGTACTACACACAGTGCATTACTGTACTACACAGTGCATTACTGTACTACACACCGTACAAGTACTGTACTACACACCGTACAAGTACTGTACTACACACAGTACAAGTAAAGTACTGTATTACACAGTACAAGTACTGTGTGTAATACAGTACAGGTACTACACACAGCACCCTGTACTGTGTGTGTAGTACAGTACAGGGTGCTGTACTGTACTACACACAGTGCATTACTGTACTACACACCGTACAAGTACTGTACTACACACAGTACAAGTACTGTACTACACACAGTACCCTGTACTGTACTACACACAGTACAGCACCCTGTACACACAGTACCCTGTACTGTACTACACACAGTACAGCACCCTGTACTGTGTGTAGTACAGTACAGGGTGCTGTGTGTAGTACAGTACTTGTACGGTGTGTAGTACAGTACCCTGTGTGTAGTACAGTGCCCTGTACTGTATTACACACAGTACAGGTACTGTGTGTAATACAGTACAGGTACTACACACAGCACCTGTACTGAGTGTAGTACAGTACAGGCAGTGTGTAGTACAGTACAAGTACTGTACTGCACACAGTACAGGGTGCTGTACTGTGTGTAGTACAGTACAGGGTGCTGTACTGTATTACACACAGTACCCTGTACTGTACTACACACAGTACAAGGTACTGTACTGTGTGTAGTAACAGTGGTGTTAGGGAACACTCCAGTGGGCAGGAACGTAAATCTAGCATCTTAAGATGTTTATACAACAGCGCCTTATTCCAATGCGCTTTACAACAATTATGTAAAGTGTACGTACGATGAAAGTTGTTGAGATAATAAGAGTGGTGGTGGTTGTTGTTGTTAAAGTAATGGTGTAGTCATGGCGACGGTTCGGAGGGGTTGGGGATAGTGGTGGTGGTGATGGTGGTAGTGATGGTGATGGCGGTGATGGCGGTGGTGGTGATGGTGGTGGTAGTGATGGTGGTGGTGGTGGTAGTGGTGGTAGTGATGGTGGTAGTGGTGGTAGTGGTGATGATGGTGGTGGTAGTGGTGATGGTTGTGATGGTGGTGGTGGTGGAGGTGATGGTAGAGGTACAAGAGTCCGCCACCACTCGATCAGTTCAGAATGCCCTGGGGCGGCCGCGGGCCTCCATAGCAACCATAGAAAGTTTGGAGCGAACGCGACGACGGGGTGGGGGAGGGGGAAACCCTCACCCGATACGAGGCCATGGCGAGACGGAAGAGGGCGTGAGGGGCACGCGGAGTCCGGGTGGGCGTTTAAAGGAGGCGGATGGCGAGCGATGGAACTTTGTGGTTTTGTTGTTGTTCTGAGACGACGCCGCCGCCGCCGCTGCCGCCAGAGACGCCGCCGCTGCCGCCGCCTTCAACTTTTCGTCTCCTACTTCCGGTTTGCCGGCGGAACGAATGGGGTCGTGCGCAGCAACATCCGGGTGACGGGCTTGGCGAGGGGCGGAGTTAGGGGCGGAGTTAGAGGCGGGGTTAGGGGCGGGGCGGATGAGCGGGGATTGGGGGGGAGGGAATAAATTTACGTGACGTCGACCATCGGCTCCCTCGTGAATATTAATGAGGTAATGACCGTATATGGAACGATCGGGGCACGTGATGATGATTATTAATGAGGCGATGACCGTATATGGAACGATCGGGTCACGTGATTATCAATATTAATGAGGCAATATCCGTATATGGAACGATCGGGTCACGTGATGATGAATATTAATGAGGCGATGGCTGAATATGGAATTACATTATAATATTAGGGTGAGTGGTTGGTTGAGTGAGCGGGAGGGTGGGCGGGCGGGCAGGTGGAGTGTGGGTGGGTGTGTGGGTGGATGGGTGAGTGGGTGGTTGAGTGGGTGGATGGGTGAGTGGGTGGGTGGATGGGTGAGTGGGTGGTTGAGTGGGTGAGTGGGTGGTTGGGCGAGTGGGTGGTTGGGTGAGTGGGTGGATGGGTGAGTGGGTGGTTGAGTGGGTGAGTGGGTGGTTGGGCGAGTGGGTGGTTGGGTGAGTGAGTGGGTGGTTGGGTGATTGGGGAGTTGGGTGAGTGAGTGGGTGAGTGGGTGGGTGAGTGAGTGGGTGGGTGTGTGGGTGGGTGGGTGAGTGGGTGTGTGGGTGGGTGTGTGGGTGTGTGGGTGGGTGTGTGGGTGGATGTGTGGGTGAGTGAGTAGGTGGATTTGTAGGTGGATGAGTGAGTGGGTGGACGAGTGGCTAAGTGGGTGGGTAGTGGGTGGGTGGACGGGTAGCTAAGTGGGTGGGTAGTGGGTGGGTGGACTGGTGGATGAGTGGGTGGGTCGTGGGTGGGTGGGTGGAAGAGTGGGTGGGAGCGGGTGGCCGAGATGTGAACGTCGCTGGAGAGAGCGAGGATGAAGATGTGGACCCGTTCCGTGAAAATAAAGACCTTACAGTGCGGGAAAAAAATATTTGATCCCCTGCTGATTTTGTACGTTTGCCCACTGACAAAGAAATGATCAGTCTATAATTTAATGGAAGGTTTATTTGAACATTGAGAGACAGAATAACAACAACAAAATCCAGAAAAACGCATGTCAAAAATTTTATTATTTGATTTGCATTTTAATGAGGGAATAAGTATTTGACCCCTCTGCAAAACATGACTTAGTACTTGGTGGCAAAACCCTTGTTGGCAATCACAGAGGTCAGACGTTTCTTGTAGTTTGCCACCAGGTTTGCACACATCTCAGGAGGGATTTTGTCCCACTCCTCTTTGCAGATCTTTTCCAAGTCATTAAGGTTTCGAGGCTGACGTTTGGCAACTCGAACCTTCAGCTCCCTCCACAGATGTTTCTATGGGATTAAGGTCTGGTGACTGGCTAGGCCACTCCAGGACCTTAATGTGCTTCTTCTTGAGCCACTCCTTTGTTGCCTTGGCCGTGTGTTTTGGGTCATTGTCATGCTGGAATACCCATCCACGACCCATTTTCATTGCCCTGGCTGAGGGAAGGAGGTTCTCACCCAAGATTTGACGGTACATGGCCCCGTCCATCGTTCCTTTGATGCGGTGAAGTTGTCCTGTCCCCTTAGCAGAAAAACATCCCCAAAGAATAATGTTTCCACCTCCATGTTTGACGGTGGGGATGATGTTCTTGGGGTCATAGGCAGCATTCCTCCTCCTCCAAACACGGCGAGTTGAGTTGATGCCAAAGAGCTCCATTTTGGTCTCATCTGACCACAAAACTTTCACCCAGTTGTCCTCTGAAGTAGTGTGTTACCAATTGTTTTCTTGGTGATTAGGGTCCCAGCTGCCTTGAGATCATTGACAAGATCCTCCCGTGTAGTTCTGGGCTGATTCCTCACCGTTCTCATGATCATTGCAACTCCACGAGGTGAGATCTTGCATGGAGCCCCAGGCCGAGGGAGATTAACAGTTCTTTTGTGTTTCTTCCATTTGCGAATAATCGCACCAACTGTTGTCACCTTCTCACTAAGCTGCTTGGCAATGGTCTTGTAGCCCATTCCAGCCTTGTGTAGGTCTACAATCTTGTCCCTGACATCCTTGGAGAGCTCTTTGGTCTTGGCCATGGTGGAGAGTTTGGAATCTGATTGATTGATTGCTTCTGGGGGCAGGTGTATTTTATATAGGTAACAAGCTGAGATTACGAGCACTCCCTTTAAGAGTGTGCTCCTAATCTCAGCTCGTTACCTGTTTAAAATACCCCTGGGAGCCAGAAATCTTTCTGATTGAGAGGGGGTCAAATACTTATTTCCCTCATTAAAATGCAAATCAATTTATAACATTTTTTACATGCATTTTTCTGGATTTTTTTGTTGTTATTCTGTCTCTCACTGTTCAAATAAGCTTACCATTAAAATTATAGACTGATCATTTCTTTGTCAGTGGGCAAACGTACAAAATCAGCAGGGGATTAAATACTTTTTTCCCTCACTGTACCTTGGTTAACAGAGAAAAGGGCCCGAGTCCTCTTTCCAAGGTCATAGCCATGGAGTGAACATTGCTGGGGACCAAATCTTCCAGGGGGTCTGGGGGTCCCCCCCCCCAGAAAAAAAAATCTAAATTTGAAAACTAATTTCCTGCCTAAAATATTAACTGCCCAGTAGCAGCGTCCTTCACAAGCTTCCTTCACGAGCCTCCTTCACGTGCCTCCTTCACGAGCGTCCTTCACCAGCTTCCTTCACGAGCGTCCTTCACGAGCCTCCTTCACGAGCTTCCTTCACGAGCGTCCTTCACGAAGCTCCTTCACGAGCGTCCTTCACCAGCCTCCTTCACGAGCCTCCTTCACGAGCTTCCTTCACCAGCGTCCTTCACGAGCGTCCTTGACGAGCGTCCTTCACGAGCCTCCTTCACGAACTTCCTTCACGAGCGTCCTTCACCAGCGTCCTTCACCAGCCTCCTTCACGAACTTCCTTCACGAGCGTCCTTCACGAGCGTCCTTCACGAGCGTCCTTCACGAGCGTCCTTCACGAACTTCCTTCACGAGCGTCCTTCACGAGCGTCCTTCACGAGTGTCCTTCACGAACTTCCTTCACGAGCGTCCTTCACGAGCTTCCTTCACGAGCGTCCTTCACGAGCGTCCTTCACGAGCTTCCTTCACGAGCCTCCTTCACCAGCGTCCTTCACGAGCGTCCTTCACGAACCTCCTTCACGAGCGTCCTTCACCAGCCTCCTTCACGAGCGTCCTTCACGAGCGTCCTTCACCAGCGTCCTTCACGAGCTTCCTTCACGAGCGTCCTTCACGAGCGTCCTTCACGAGCCTCCTTCACGAGCCTCCTTCACGAGCGTCCTTCACGAGCGTCCTTCACGAGCGTCCTTCACCAGCGTCCTTCACGAACCTCCTTCACGAGCTTCCTTCTCGAGCGTCCTTCACGAGCTTCCTTCACGAGCCTCCTTCACCAGTGTCCTTCACCAGCGTCCTTCACGAGCGTCCTACACGAGCCTCCTTCACGAGCTTCCTTCACGAGCGTCCTTCACGAGGCTCCTTCACGAGCGTCCTTCACCAGCCTCCTTCACGAGCGTCCTTCACGAACTTCCTTCACGACCGTCCTTCACGAGCGTCCTTCACGAGCGTCCTTCACGAGCGTCCTTCACGAGCCTCCTTCACGAGCGTCCTTCACCTGCGTCCTTCACGAGCGTCCTTCACGAGCCTCCTTCACGAGCCTCCTTCACCAGCCACCTTCATGAGCTTCCTTCACGAGCGTCCTTCACGAACCTCCTTCACGAGCGTCCTTCACGAGCCTCCTTCACCAGCGTCCTTCACCAGCGTCCTTCACGAGTCTCCTTCACGTGCGTCCTTCACGAGCGTCCTTCACGAGCATCCTTCACGAGCGTCCTTCACGAGCGTCCTTCACGAGCGTCCTTCACCAGCGTCCTTCACCAGCGTCCTTCACGAACCTCCTTCACGAGCGTCCTTCACGGGGGCCGATTTTAACACGGCTGGTAGCGGTCATCTCAGCTCCACATCTTCCTGTAACCACATCAGCTCCACCTCCTCTCCAGCCCGTGCCACTCACTCACCCATCAGCTCCACCTCTTCTCCAGCCCGTGCCACTCACTCACACATCAGCTCCACCTCTTCTCCAGCCCGTGCCACTCACTCACCCATCAGCTCCACCTCTTCTCCAGCCCGTGCCACCCACTCACCCATCAGCTCCACCTCTTCTCCAGCCCGTGCCACTCACTCACCCATCAGCTCCACCTCCTCCCCAGCCCGTGCCACTCACTCATCCATCAGCTCCACCTCTTCTCCAGCCCGTGCCACCCACTCACCCATCAGCTCCACCTCTTCTCAGCCCGTGCCACCCAATCACCCATCAGCTCCACCTCCTCTCCAGCCCGTGCCACTCACCCATCAGCTCCACCTCTTCTCAGCCCGTGCCACCCACTCACCCATCAGCTCCACCTCTTCTCAGCCCGTGTCACTCACTCATCCATCAGCTCCACCTCTTTTCCAGTCCGTGCCATTCATCCATCAGCTCCACCTCTTCTCCAGCCCGTGCCACCCACTCACCCATCAGCTCCACCTCTTCTCCAGCCCGTGTCACTCACTCACCTATCAGCTCCACCTCTTTTCAGCCCGTGCCACCCACTCATCCATCAGCTCTACCTCTTCTCCAGCCCGTGCCACTCACTCACCCATCAGCTCCACCTCTTCTCCAGCCCGTGCCACCCACTCATCCATCAGCTCCACCTCTTCTCCAGCCCGTGCCACTCACTCACCCATCAGCTCCACCTCTTCTCCAGCCCGTGTCACCCACTCACCCATCAGCTCCACCTCTTCTCCAGCCCCTGCCACTCACTCACCCATCAGCTCCACCTCTTCTCCAGCCCGTGCCACTCACTCACCCATCAGCTCCACCTCTTCTCCAGCCCGTGTCACTCACTCACCCATCAGCTCCACCTCTTCTCCAGCCCGTGCCACTCACTCACCCATCAGCTCCACCTCTTCTCGAGCCCGTGCCACTCACTCACCCATCAGCTCCACCTCTTCTTGAGTCCGTGACACCCACTCACCCATCAGCTCCACCTTTTCTACAGCCCGTGCCACTCACTCATCCATCAGCTCCACCTCTTCTCCAGCCCGTGCCACTCACTCACCCATCAGCTCCACCTCTTCTCCAGCCCGTGCCACCCACTCACCCATCAGCCCCACCTCTTCTCAGCCCGTGCCACCCACTCATCCATCAGCTCCACCTCTTCTCCAGCCCGTGCCACTCACCCATCAGCTCCACCTCTTCTCAGCCCGTGCCACCCACTCATCCATCAGCTCCACCTCTTCTCCAGCCCGTGTCACTCACTCACCCATCAGCTCCACCTCTTCTCCAGCCCGTGCCACTCACTTACCCATCAGCTCCACCTCTTCTCCAGCCCGTGCTACTCACTCACCCATCAGCTCCACCTCTTCTCCAGCCCGTGCCACCCACTCATCCATCAGCTCCACCACTTCTCCAGCCCGTGCACTCACTCACCCATCAGCTCCACCTCTTCTCCAGCCCGTGTCACCCACTCACCCATCAGCTCCACCTCTTCTCCAGCCCGTGCCACCCACTCACCCATCAGCTCCACCTTTTCTCCAGCCCGTGCCACTCACTCACCCATCAGCTCCACCTCTTCTCCGGCCCGTACCACTCAACTCTTCACCCACCCACGCAGTCTAACGCTCATTCACCATAGCGTGACATCGGCGGCTGTGGAAAAACAGCCGCACGGCTCGGCACGGCAGGGGAACGGTTGTGCCAGTGGGGGAAACAGGGGTGGCACGGTTCTGCGAGTGGGGGAAACAGGAGTGGCACGGCACGGTTGTGCCAGTGGGGGAAACAGGGGTGGCACGGCACGGTTCTGCCAGTGGGGGAAACAGGAGTGGCACGGCACGGTTCTGCCAGTGGGGGAAACAGGGGTGGCACGGCACGGTTCTGCCAGTGGGGGAAACAGGAGTGGCACGGCACGGTTCTGCCAGTGGGGGAAACTGGAGTGGCACGGCACGGTTGTGCCAGTGGGGGAAACAGGAGTGGTACGGCACGGTTGTGCCAGTGGGGGAAACAGGGGTGGCACGGCACGGTTCTGCCAGTGGGGGAAACAGGAGTGGCACGGCACGGTTCTGCCAGTGGGGGAAACAGGGGTGGCACGGCACGGTTCTGCCAGTGGGGGAAACAGGAGTGGCACGGCACGGTTCTGCCAGTGGGGGAAACAGGAGTGGCACGGCACGGTTGTGCCAGTGGGGGAAACAGGAGTGGCACGGCACGGTTGTGCCAGTGGGGGAAACAGGAGTGGCACGGCACGGTTGTGCCAGTGGGGGAAACAGGGGTGGCACGGCACGGTTCTGCCAGTGGGGGAAACAGGAGTGGCACGGCACGGTTCTGCCAGTGGGGGAAACAGGAGTGGCACGGCACGGTTGTGCCAGTGGGGGAAACAGGAGTGGCACGGCACGGTTGTGGCAGTGGGGGAAACAGGGGTGGCACGGCACGGTTGTGCCAGTGAGGGAAACGGGAGTGGCACGGCACGGTTCTGCCAGTGGGGGAAACAGGGGTGGCACGGCACGGCACGGCACGGTTCTGCCAGTGGGGGAAACGGGGGTGGCACGGCACGGTTGTGCCAGTGGGGGAAACAGGGGTGGCACGGCACGGTTCTGCCAGTGGGGGGAACGGGGGTGGCACGGCACGGTTGTGTTTATTTATTTTTATTTATTCAGATTTCCTCACAGCATGCCGAGCCACGAGGGGGAGCGGAGATCAGCACGAGCAACGCCACACAGACACCCGAGTGTGCCCCGTGACCTCCTCCCAGGTGACCTCCTCCCCCTGCACCTAGCCTGGTACAGCAATCAACCCATAGACGCCTGCGTGTGTCCCGTGACTCCCTCATGCTGCACCTGGCCTGGCACCTGGGCCCATCCTGTGACCGCCTGCCAGCTGCGCCAGCCTCCTCTGCTCCACCTGAATGGCCTCGAGGAGCACCTAGCCTGGCACAAGCGCCGCGTGCGTTGCGTGCGATGCCGCGCCCCAGCGATGGGAAGTTCCACGTTCCTATGCCCGGGGATGGGGGGGTCGAGTCCATCCACGGCACACCCCTAGATCCACTCGGCCTTAAATGATGGCCTGGTGGGTTATTAAAAATAAAGCACTATGGGGCCGTCCATAAATGACGTCACGTGATTTTTGACCCCCTCCCCCCTTCGTCACATGACGTCACAAAAAGTCAAACCCCCACCCTCAAATATGACGTCAAAAAATATATAAAACATGCTTCAAATCGCTTTAAACTATTGTCACATTGTAGTGCGTATTTAATGTGGCTTGCAACTCTGATGTTGCAGGAGAAAACGTTGATTACAAAGTCTATTTAATCAAGTAGAACGTGTTGTCTACAATTATTTAAAGTTGCGCGTTTTGACGTGACGTCACATTTCTCAAACACCCTCCCCCTCCCTCGTCACACATCGTCACAAAAGTCTGACCCCACCCCCCCCCCCCCAGGTGCGTGACGTCATTTATGGACGGGCCCCCCAAGACGCTCGCTAATAGCGCTCGCCCCGACGGTCTATACAGCTATGGGGGGAGGGTGCTTTTGAGACTTAAATAGTAATCGGGCCTCAAGTAGTACATGGTGATGTCATTAAATACGCGATTAAGAATGTAGCGAGGGGGGAGAATATTACTGGGTGCTGAGACTCGGGATCTGGAGACTCGGGGTGTAGAGACTCGGGGTCTGGAGACTCGGGGTGTAGAGACTCGGGGTGTAGAGACTCGGGGTCTGGAGACTCGGGGTGTAGAGACTCGGGGTGTAGAGACTCGGGGTCTGGAGACTCGGGGTCTGGAGACTCGGGGTCTGGAGACTCGGGGTCTGGAGACTCGGGGTGTAGAGACTCGGGGTGTAGAGACTCGGGGTGTAGAGACTCGGGGTGTAGAGACTCGGGGTCTGGAGACTCGGGGTCTGGAGACTCGGGGTCTGGAGACTCGGGGTCTGGAGACTCGGGGTGTAGAGACTCGGGGTGTAGAGACTCGGGGTGTAGAGACTCGGGGTCTGGAGACTCGGGGTCTGGAGACTCGGGAAAATCGGATCTCAGGGTCTAAATACTCAAGAGTCTAGAGCCTCCATAAGTCTAGAGACTTAGGGAGACCGGGTCTCAGGGTCTAGAGACACAGGGAGACCGGGTCACAGGGTCTATAGACTCAGGGTCTAGAGACTCAGGGTCTAGAGACTCAGGGAGACCAGGTCTCAGGGTGTAGAGACTCAGGGTGTCGAGACTCAATTGAAACCCAGGGTCTAGAGACTCGGGGAGACCGGGACTCAGGGTCTGAGTCTCGATCGAGACACAAGTGTGTGGAAGTGCTCGCTACGTGAATAATTCAGATATTATTTCATGATTCCAATAATCACACTCATTCACATGCACACACGTACACCCAGTCATACACAGACACACACACACAGACACATGCAGTCACACACACACACACGTACACATACAGTCATAAAAGACATAGTCATACACAGACACGCACACAGACACACAAAGACATGCAGTCGTACATACACTAACACTCCTCGTCACACACACCGTGCGTCACACACACACACACCGTGCGTGCGTCACTCACACACACCACGCGTGCGTCACACACACACACCACGCGTGCGTCACTCACACACACCACGCGTGTGTCACACACACACACACACCACGCGTGTGTCACACTCTCACACACACCGTGCGTGCGTCACACACACACACCGTGCGTCACACACAAATCCGCGTGCGTCACACACACACACACCGTGCGTGCGTCACTCACACACACCACGCGTGCGTCACACACACACACCACGCGTGCGTCACACACACACACCACGCGTGCGTCACACACACACACCACGCGTGCGTCACACACTCACACACACCACGCGTGTGTCACACTCTCACACACACCGTGCGTGCGTCACACACACACACCGTGCGTGCGTCACTCACACACACACCGTGCGTGCGTCACTCACACACACCACGCGTGCGTCACACACACACACACCGTGCGTGTGTCACACACACACACCACGCGTGCGTCACACACACACACCATGCGTACGTCACACACACACACACACCGTGCGTCACACACACACACACACCGTGCGTGCGTCACTCACACACACCACGTGTGTGTCACACACACACACCGTGCGTGCGTCACACACACACACACCGTGCGTGCGTCACACACTCACACACACACACTCACACACACACTCACACACACACACCGTGCGTCACACACTCACACACACACACCACACGTGCGTCACACACTCACACACACTCACACACACACACTCACACACACCACACGTCACTCACTCACACACACTCACACACACACCACACGTGCGTCACACACTCACACACTCACACACACACTCACACACACCACACGTCACTCACTCACACACACTCACACACACACCACACGTGCGTCACACACTCACACACTCACACACACATTCACACACACCACACGTCACTCTCACACTCACCACACGTCACACTCACACACACACACACTCACACACACACTCACACACCGTGTGTGCGTCACACACTCACACGTCACACTCACACACGTCACACTCACACACACCACACGTCACACTCACACACACACCACACGTCACACTCACACACACACACCACACGTCACACTCACACACACACACCACACGTCACACTCACACACACACACCACACGTCACACTCACACACACACACACCACACGTCACACTCACACACTCACACACACTCACACACCACACGTCACACACACACACACACCGTGCGTCACTCACACACACACACACACCGTACGTCACACACACACTCACACACACACCGTGCATCACACACACTCACACACACTCACACACACACTCACACACACACACCACACGTCACACTCACACACACACACCACACGTCACACTCACACACACACACACCACACGTCACACTCACACACTCACACACACACACACACTCACTCACACACCACACGTCACACTCACACACACACACACACACCACACGTCACACTCACACACACTCACACACACTCACTCACACACCACACGTCACACACACACACACCGTGCGTCACTCACACACACTCACACCGTGCGTCACACACACACTCACACACACTCATACACACCGTGCATCACACACACACACACACCGTGCGTCACTCACACACACACACACCACACGTCACACACACACTCACTCACACACTCACACACACACCACACGTCACACTCACACACACTCATACACACACACCACACCACACGTCACACTCACACACACACACTCACACACACACTCACACACACTCACACACACACACCGTGCGTCACACACACTCACACACACTCACACACCACACGTCACTCACACACACACACTCACACACACACACACTCACACACACACCGTGCGTCACACACACTCACACTCACACACTCACACACGCTCACACTCACACACACCACACGTCACACTCACACACACACACCACACGTGCGTCACACACACACTCACACACACACTCACACACACACGCTCACACACTCACACACACTCACACACACCGTGCATCACATACACACACCGTGCGTCACACACACTCACACACACACACTCACACACTCACACACACACTCACACACACTCACACACACACACTCACACACACTCACACACACTCACACACACCACACGTCACACACACACTCACACACACACACACCACACGTCACACTCACACACACACACACCACACGTCACACTCTCACACACACTCACACACACACACACTCACACACCACACGTCACTCACACACACACACGTCACTCACACACACACACTCACACACACACACTCACACACACACCGTGCGTCACACACACTCACACTCACACACACACACTCACACACACTCACACACACTCACACACACACCACACCACACGTCACACTCCGTATCCGTCGTCGAACGCCCGACCCAGCAGCGCTCTGCGCAGCACCAGGAAGGCGATGGCCACCGCGAGGAGCGCCACCAGTAGGGAGGAGGCCAGCCCCCGCCCCCCCACGGCCCCTCCCCTCGGCCCCCCGCTCCCCACCTCCTCCCCCCCTTCGGCCCCCCTCCCCCCGTGCCCCCCGCCGGGCTGCGCTGCTGCTGCTGCTGCTGAAGATGAGGTGGTGGTGGCGGTGGTGGTGGCCGTGGTGGCCGTGGTGGCGGTGGTGGCCACGCGTTGCCGGGGCTCCGTGCTGGCTGGCGACTGTCGCGCGTGAGGATGGGACGGGGGGGGGGGGAGATGGAGGGAGAGTGAGCGGGTGGCTGGGTGGGTGGCTGGGTGGGTGGCTGGGTGGGCGGGCGGGCGGCTGGGCAGGTGGGCGGGTGGCTGGGTGGGTGGGTGGCTGGGCGGGCGGCTGGGTGGGCGGGTGGGCGGCTGGGTGGGCGGGCGGGCGGCTGGGCAGGTGGGCGGGTGGCTGGGCGGGTGGCTGGGTGGCTGGGCGGGTGGGTGGGTGGCTGGGTAGGTGGGTGGCTGGGTGGGTGGGTGGCTGGGTGGGTGGGTGGCTGGGTGGGCGGGTGGGTGGCTGGGTGGGCGGGTGGGTGGCTGGGTGGGCGGGTGGCTGGGCGGGCGGCTGGGTGGGCGGGCGGGCGGCTGGGTGGGCGGGCGGGCGGCTGGGTGGGCGGGCGGGCGGCTGGGTGGGCGGGCGGGCGGCTGGGCGGGTGGCTGGGTGGCTGGGTGGGTGGCTGGGTTGCTGGGTGGGTGGGTGGCTGGGCGGGTGGGTGGGTGGTTTGGTGGGTGGTGCCGTACTTTAACGCTGTGGTGAACAATGCCTTGGGGGGGAACGGCCAATTCCAATTGGCTATTACCCTCATGGCGCTTGTAGCCACCACAACGGCCAATGGGTGCTCTGGATGGGTGCGAGGGGCTGATAACCCCTCCACCTTCAATTTAACTACCGTGAAAACGTGTGCAAAATATCGAACTAAGCTCGTGTGAGAGGCCCCGGGTGGACAGGTGTCTATGACATCTCCTGGTCATACCCCAAATTGGCAGAGCCAGGAGACTGAATCCGTACCCTCGGAGTTCCTCCAGAAACAGCAAAAAGCCACTGCGGGTGGCCACTTGGAATGTTCAAACGCTCACTACGGATGAGAGGCTGCCACTCCTCTGTCGGGAGCTGGATCGGTACCGCCTGGATCTCTGCGGCATTCAGGAGGTCTGGTGGACTGCCTCTGGCTCCTGCCACCATGAGGGGTGGACAGTCCTCTATTTGGGACAGGACACTGCCAAACAACAGGGAGTGGCTCTTCTACTGAACAAAAGAATGAGGGGGACGTGGGAGCGTGGTGGTGAGGTGTGGGAAGCTGTGAGCCCCAGGCTACTTTGGGCTCGCCTTCCCATCAATCGGAGGCGAGGAGTGGTGGTCGTGGTTACTTAAGCCCCCACCGAAGACGAACATCAGTGGAGGGATGCAGGCAAGGCCAATGAGTTAGATGCTTTCTATGACCTCCTGTCACAGGTGCTGGCTAAAGTGGCCCCTCGGGATAGAGTCATCTTGTTGGGTGACTTCAATGCCCGAGTGGTTCATGATGCTGGCAACTGGTCTGCAGTGATTGGAAGGCATGGGCCAGATCAGCTCAATAACAACGGTCAGAGGCTGCTAGACTTCTATGCAGCCCATGGGCTTGTAATTACCAACACGCTGTTCTGGCATCGGCGCAACTACACAACATCACGGATGCACGCCGGGTCCAAGCAAAAACATTTGCTGGACTATTTAGTGATGGAATAGCGGATGCGGGCCCATGTCCTTGACAGCAGGACCTACCGTGGAGCTGATCTGCCAACTGACCATCAGCTTGTCATCTGTAAGATGCACCTGCCATTCTTCTACTCCAAGTGGTGGGTGTACACCCAGGACCCCATTCCAACCTAAGGTGGCCTAGTCTCAGCTAGATAATGAAAGTTGCAAGTGAGAATTTCATCATCGATTGCAGTTGGGGTTGGCAGAGTCCCCCACTCCTCCTGATGCCAAGGGAAAATGGGTAAAAGTTTAGGAGTGTGGCTCATGCAACCACAATGACTGCTTTAGATACGCGGTCCAAACCTCCCCAGAGACCTTGGCTGACGGAGGAAGTGTTCCGGCTGTCTGAGAAAAAGCGACAGGCCCACTCCGACCATCTACAGCTCCAGGTCTTCTCAGCCACGGTCACACCCTCCCTTTTCTATGATTGTGAAACGTGGATGACTCGAATGGAACATCTGCGTTGGTTAGAAACATTTCGGCTGACCTGCTGAAGATCAATTCTAGGTTTAACCAGGCTGGATTGTGTGAAGAGCTCAGAAATCCTTGAAAGATCTGGACAAAGTCCCATTGGTGAGCTCCTCCGGCAGGCAAGGCTGCGTTGGCTGGGTCATGTAGCCCGCAAACCAAGCCACCTAATGCCCAAACAGCTTTTGTCCGCCCAGATAGAGGGGGCTAAACGGGTATGGCATGGGCTAGAGAAGAGATGGAGTGATGTGGTACGAGAGTGGACTTGCCAATGACCAGCGATACCAAGAACAGCCTCTGTGAGTGAGTGGAAGGGTGAGTGGGGCAGTGAGTGGGTGAGTGGGTGGGTGAGTGGGTGAGCAGGTGAGTGGGTGGGTGGGTGAGTGGGTGAGCGAGTGAGTGGAAGGGTGAGTGAGTGGGGCAGTGAGTGGGTGGGTGAGTGGGTGAGTGAGCGGGTGAGTGAGTGGGTGAGTGAGTGGGTGAGTGAGTCGGTGGGTGAGTGAGTGAGTGAGTGGAAGGGTGAGTGAGTGGGGCAGTGAGTGGTTGTGTGAGTGGGTGAGTGAGTGGGTGAGTGGGTGGGTGGGTGAGTGGGTGAGTTTGTGAGTCAGTGGGTGGGTGAGTGAGTGAGTAGAAGGGTGAGTGAGTGGGGCAGTGAGTGGGTGAGTGAGTGGGTGAGTGAGTGGGTGGGTGGGTGAGTGGGTGAGTTTGTGAGTGAGTGGGTGGGTGGGTGAGTGGGTGAGTTGGTGAGTGAGTGGGTGGGTGAGTGGGTGAGTTTGTAAGTGAGTGGGTGGGTGAGTTTGTGAGTGAGTGGGTGGGTGGGTGAGTGGGTGAGTTTGTGAGTGAGTGGGTGGGTGGGTGAGTTTGTGAGTGGGTGGGTGAGTTTGTGAGTGAGTGGGTGGGTAGGTGAGTGGGTGAGTTTGTGAGTGAGTAGGTGGGTGAGTGGATGAGTTTGTGAGTGAGTGGGTGGGTGGGTGAGTGGGTGAGTTTGTGAGTGAGTAGGTGGGTGAGTGGATGAGTTTGTGAGTGAGTGGGTGGGTGGGTGAGTGGGTGAGTTTGTGAGTGAGTGGGTGGGTGGGTGAGTGGGTGAGTTTGTGAGTGGGTGGGTGGGTGAGTGGGTGAGTTTGTGAGTGAGTGGGTGGGTGGGTGAGTGGGTGAGTTTGTGAGTGAGTAGGTGGGTGAGTGGATGAGTTTGTGAGTGAGTGGGTGGGTGGGTGAGTGGGTGAGTTTGTGAGTGAGTGGGTGGGTGGGTGAGTGGGTGAGTTTGTGAGTGGGTGGGTGGGTGAGTGGGTGAGTTTGTGAGTGAGTGGGTGGGTGGGTGAGTTTGTGAGTTACCGGTGGACGGAGTCTCTGAGCTCCCGATTCTCCGCTCTCTTCCTGGGGTTCACTTGGAGAGGGGGATGGACCTAGTAACAACAACAACAACTCGCTCATCACCCACTTAATCACTCACCATGCCACACACAAAGCCACCCAACCACCCAGCCACTCACCAAGCCACCCAACCACCCAACCACTCACCAAGCCACCCAACCACCCAACCACTCACCAGGCCACCCACCAACTCACCCACCCACTCAGCCACCCACACAACTACCCACCCACTCACTCACCCACCCCTCCACCCACCCACCTACTCACCCACTCAGCCACCCACTCAGCCACCCACTCAGCCACCCACCCACCGGCCCACACAACTACCCACCCACCCACTCACCCACCCACTCACTCACTCACCCACCCCTCCACCCACTCACCTACCCACCTATATCCACCCACCTATATCCACCCACCGTGCACCGTGCGTTACGGGCTCTGTGTGCATCACCACCACAGCCGTTGCCCACCTGTGGAAGCGATGCTGTCACTGCTGGCGCTGTCAATGCCACCACCACCGCCACCGCCGCCGCCGCTGCCGCTGCCCTCTGGAGGTTGCGTCCCTGGCGCGGTCGCCTCCGGCTGCAACAAGACCGGGAATCACCAGGGGGCAGTCCCAGCAGGGGGCTGAGTTTGTGTGTGAGTGAGTGTCAGTGTGAGTGAGTGGGTGAGTGGGTGCGCGAGTGTCAGTGGGTCTGAGTGAGTGAGTGTGTGAGTGAGCGAGTGATAGAGTGAGCAAGTGGGTGAGTGAGTGAGCCAGTCAGCGAGTGAACCAGCCAGCGAGTGAGCCAGCCAGCTAGCGAGTGAGTCACCTTGAAGCTGATCTGCCGAGCCAGCTCAAGAGTGAGTGAGCGAGTGAGCCAGCCAGCGAGTGAGCCAGCCAGCAAGCGAGTGAGCCAGCCAGTGACTGAGCCAGCCAGCGAGTGAGTGAGCGAGTGAGCCAGTGCGCTAGCCAGCGAGTGAGTGAGCCAACGAGTGAATGAGCCAGCTCAAGAGTGAGCGAGTGAGCCAGCCAGCAAGTGAGTGAGCCAGCGAGTGAGCCAGCCTGCGAGTGAGTGAGCCAGCCAGCGAGCGAGTGAGCCAGCCAGCGAGTGAGCCAGCGAGCGAGTCACCTTGAAGCTGATCTGCTGAGCCAGCTCAAGAGTGAGTGAGCGAGTGAGTGAGCCAGCCAGCGAGTGAGTGAGCGAGTGAGTGAGCCAGCCAGTGAGTGAGTGAGCCAGCCTGCGAGTGAGTGAGCCAGCCAGCGAGCGAGTGAGTCACCTTGAAGCTGATCTGCCGAGCCAGCTCGTGAGCCTCGCTGTCGTCCGGGCCTGGCCCCTCGGCCGCCTCCGGCAACGCCGCCCTCAAACGCTCCCCACAGCCCTCGCACACAAACTCTCTCGAGCTAGAGGGGGGCACGGGGGGGGGCACGGGGGGCACAGGGGGGGCACGGGGGGGCACGGGGGGGGGGGCACAATGGGGGGGTGTGAGACAAACTACACCAGAACAACCACCACCTCCTCTACAACCTCTACAACCTCTACCACCTCTACCACCTCTACCACCTCTACAACCTCTACCACCTCCTCTACAACCTCTACCACCTCTACAACCTCTACAACCTCTACAACCTCTACCACCTCTACAACCTCTACAACCTCTACCACCTCTACAACCTCTACAACCTCTACAACCTCTACCACCTCTACAACCTCTACAACCTCTACCACCTCTACCACCTCTACAACCTCTACCACCTCTACAACCTCTACCACCTCTACAACCTCTACCACCTCTACAACCTCTACAACCTCTACCACCTCTACAACCTCTACCACCTCTACCACCTCTACAACCTCTACAACCTCTACCACCTCTACAACCTTTACAACCTCTACCACCTCTACAACCTCTACAACCTCTACCACCTCTACAACCTCTACCACCTCTACCACCTCTACCACCTCTACAACCTCTACCACCTCTACCACCTCTACCACCTCTACAACCTCTACCACCTCTACCACCTCAACCACCTCTACCACCTCTACCATCTCTACAACCTCTACAACCTCTACCACCTCTACAACCTCTACCACCTCTACCACCTCTACCACCTCTACCACCTCTACCACCTCTACAACCTCTACCACCTCTACAACCTCTACCACCTCTACCACCTCTACCACCTCTACCACCTCTACCACCTCTACAACCTCTACCACCTCTACAACCTCTACAACCTCTACCACCTCTACAACCTCTACCACCTCTACAACCTCTACAACCTCTACCACCTCTACAACCTCTACCACCTCTACAATCAATCTCTACCACCTCTACCACCTCTACAACCTCTACAACCTCTACCACCTCTACAACCTCTACCACCTCTACAACCTCTACCACCTCTACAACCTCTACAACCTCTACCACCTCTACCACCTCTACAACCTCTACCACCTCTACAACCTCTACCACCTCTACAACCTCTACAACCTCTACCCCCTCTACAACCTCTACAACCTCTACCACCTCTACCACCTCTACAACCTCTACCACCTCTACAACCTCTACAACCTCTACAACCTCTACAACCTCTACCACCTCCTCTACCACCTCTACAACCTCTACAACCTCTACCACCTCTACCACCTCCTCTACCACCTCTACAACCTCTACAACCTCTACAACCTCTACAACCTCTACAACCACCACCTCCTCTACAACCTCTACAACCTCTACCACCTCTACCACCTCTACCACCTCTACAACCTCTACCACCTCTACAACCTCTACCACCTCTACAACCTCTACCACCTCTACCACCTCTACCACCTCTACCACCTCTACCACCTCTACCACCTCTACAACCTCTACCACCTCTACAACCTCTACCACCTCTACAACCTCTACCACCTCTACCACCTCTACCACCTCTACCACCTCTACCACCTCTACCACCTCTACCACCTCTACCACCTCTACCACCTCTACAACCTCTACCACCTCTACCACCTCTACCACCTCTACCACCTCTACCACCTCTACCACCTCTACAACCTCTACCACCTCTACCACCTCTACCACCTCTACAACCTCTACCACCTCTACCACCTCTACCACCTCTACAACCTCTACAACCTCTACAACCTCTACCACCTCTACCACCTCTACAACCTCTACCACCTCTACAACCTCTACCACCTCTACCACCTCCTCTACACCTCTACAACCTCTACCACCTCTACAACCTCTACAACCTCTACCACCTCTACAACCTCTACAACCTCTACCACCTCTACAACCTCTACCACCTCTACCACCTCTACAACCTCTACAACCTCTACCACCTCTACAACCTCTACCACCTCTACAACCTCTACCACCTCTACCACCTCTACAACCTCTACCACCTCTACAACCTCTACCACCTCTACCACCTCTACCACCTCTACCACCTCTACCACCTCTACAACCTCTACCACCTCTACCACCTCTACAACCTCTACAACCTCTACCACCTCTACAACCTCTACCACCTCTACCACCTCTACCTCCTCTACAACCTCTACAACCTCTACCACCTCTACAACCTCTACCACCTCTACAACCTCTACCACCTCTACCACCTCTACAACCTCTACCACCTCTACCACCTCTACAACCTCTACAACCTCTACAACCTCTACAACCTCTACCACCTCTACAACCTCTACCACCTCTACAACCTCTACAACCTCTACCACCTCTACAACCTCTACCACCTCTACCACCTCTACCACCTCTACAACCTCTACAACCTCTACCACCTCTACCACCTCTACAACCTCTACAACCTCTACCACCTCTACAACCTCTACCACCTCCACAACCTCTACCACCTCTACCACCTCTACAACCTCTACCACCTCTACAACCTCTACCACCTCTACAACCTCTACAACCTCTACCACCTCTACCACCTCTACAACCTCTACCACCTCTACAACCTCTACCACCTCTACCACCTCCTCTACAACCTCTACAACCTCTACAACCTCTACCACCTCTACAACCTCTACAACCTCTACCACCTCTACAACCTCTACAACCTCTACCACCTCCTCTACAACCTCTACAACCTCTACCACCTCTACAACCTCTACAACCTCTACCACCTCTACAACCTCTACAACCTCTACAACCTCTACCACCTGTACAACCTCTACCACCTCTACAACCTTTACCACCTCTACCACCTCTACAACCTCTACCACCTCTACAACCTCTACCACCTCTACCACCTCTACAACCTCTACCACCTCTACCACCTCCTCTACAACCTCTACCACCTCTACAACCTCTACCACCTCTACAACCTCTACCACCTCTACCACCTCTACAACCTCTACCACCTCTACAACCTCTACCACCTCTACAACCTCTACCACCTCTACCACCTCTACAACCTCTACCACCTCTACAACCTCTACCACCTCTACAACCTCTACAACCTCTACCACCTCTACAACCTCTACCACCTCTACAACCTCTACCACCTCTACAACCTCTACAACCTCTACCACCTCTACCACCTCTACAACCTCTACCACCTCTACCACCTCCTCTACAACCTCTACAACCTCTACCACCTCTACCACCTCTACAACCTCTACAACCTCTACCACCTCTACAACCTCTACCACCTCTACCACCTCTACCACCTCTACAACGTCTACAACCTTTACCACCTGTACAACCTCTACAACCTCTACCACCTCTACCACCTCTACAACCTCTACAACCTCTACCACCTCTACAACCTCTACCACCTCTACAACCTCTACCACCTCTACCACCTCTACAACCTCTACCACCTCTACAACCTCTACCACCTCTACCACCTCTACCACCTCTACAACCTCTACAACCTCTACAACCTCTACCACCTCTACAACCTCTACCACCTCTACCACCTCTACAACCTCTACCACCTCTACAACCTCTACCACCTCTACAACCTCTACAACCTCTACCACCCACCATCAACTCCCATTACAGTCCATCACGGTGGTGATCCCGAATTAACGAATTGGTTGCCCTTGATATATCCTGGGACCGTTTCCGAGTACACAAAAGGAGAATACATTTCTCCCTAGTCGGGGTATTTTTTTCACGGCGGCCAATGGCTTGGCCATTGCTCGACCAAACGGCTGCATCCATTGCCGATGCACGGCCACGTGATGGACAAGGGAACCCCCCCCTCCCCCGAGCAGCTCCTCACGGATCAGCGACGGAATTTCTCGTCCAAGCTGCACAGAAGCTTGACACCGATGCTGTGCCAGGCAGCTAATGAGGCGCAGACAGATTGGGAGCCTTGGTGCGCGTACAGCATGGCCCCGCACGCCTCTATGGGATTTTCCCCGGGTTTTCCTCATGTACGGGCAGGAAAACGAACCCCCAACTGAGGCGCAATTGGGCATGGCCTCGGGGCGGGGGGGGGCGGGGGAAAGAGAGCAGCCATGCCCGTTCCCCTGCAGGCTACGGTGAGTCGTATCTCTGAAGCTCGCCAAGCGGCAAAGAGAAAACCCCGCCAAGGCGCAAGCTGCTAATGACGAGAACACGGGGGAGGCGTGGGCACGTGCTTCCATGGGCAATCGGGGGACGGGGCATGGTTACAAGTTGCGTCGGCCATGGCAAGGCCCCGCCGAGGTGGTAGAAGCCGAGCGGCCACGGTGAGTGAGAATGCAGGTGGGACGCCGCCGCTGGTTTGTTCACCCGTCGCGCCTGAAACCAAACGTTCTTCCCCCTACAAGACAGCTCACCGCCAAGCCCAGTTGGCGCGTCCGGCGAGCCGGGGCAGACGGCCAAGGAAATCACGCCTCTGTAAAAAATGCGTTGTGCAGCCCGCAGATTTCCAAGTCCCTGAAAGTCTGGGGAATCTCAAGAAGCCGCCACGTGGCAATTGGATCAGATTCTTCCGAAGAGCCCAAGGATGAGGCTACCCCCTTTCAAGGCTTTTGTGCGAGCCCCCGTTGCCCGGAAGGGGCGCAAAAATCTGCCCAGAGCGATGGACCGGCGTCAAGGACCCGGTCAAAGTGATTACGATTCTGCTCAGCGGGTCTCCCAGGGACATTGCGGTTTTTTTTTGTTTTTTTACGGTCCTTCCGCCCTAACGAGCGTCGGGCGTCGGGTTCAAAAATGTTCTTCTTCCCTAACGCGAGAGAATTGTTATTGAGAGCCGAGATGGTTGATTTTTTTAAGAAGGGAGTGGGGGGCGCGGTGATGTAGAGACGGTGCGTGTGAGAGACAGTGCGTGTGTGTGTGTGTGTTGGGGGGAGCGGTAGTGTAGCGGTTAGCGCTACGCTGCGCTGTGAACCCGGCGACACGGGTTCGATTCCCGCTCATGGCCAACACCGGTGA